AATGATAATTCTAGTCAATGCAACTTATGTAGAAAGATAAAAGAACTTTGGATTAGCTGAACAAAAAGAAAGTATTTAGCAGGCAATTTTAATGAGTGATATTAATAATTGTTAGCCAATATTAATATAACATAAAAAGGCACCTAGATGTGATAGGTTTGGCTTCTTGGATATATCTTGCAAATGAATATGAATATAACCTTTTGATTTTCTGTTGAGTGATTTAAATAAAGTTGTTAAAACGTCAAGTGATAATAATATTGCCTAAGGAGATTAGAAACATGTTAAAGTATTATAAATGGTTTAATTGGGGCCAGCAGCGACTCTTTAATAAACAAGTCAAACGTGATTGAAATGAAAATTTTATGTGAAATGTGTAGCAAAATCACAAACGATAAATTAAGAATTAATTTCATTAAAGGGATAAGAGGAAGTTACACCAATTACATGGGTAGATAAAACTTAATGTTGGAGAATTGGGGCAACATTAAGTTTAGGCTAATGGTAACTCAGAGGATATGCACAAATAAAATGGAGAATTAAGATTTATAAAAGTGCTCCCATATTGTTGGGCCAAGGTTAATGATGATTAAGATGATGGTGATAATGATTATGATAGAATCCAGGCTAAAAACAACAAACACACAACGATGACATTGCTAAAGATTGGTGGAAAAAACTCAAATGATGGTTGATCTTACGAAAATCAAAGAAAACAAGCAAAGATACAATAATGATCTACTATTTGAGAGGTAGATTGACTCTCCACAAGCCCTAGCGTCGTTAGGAACACCACAAGAAGAGAAGGAAAACTGCAACCAAAACAAAACATAAAGTAAACTTTAGGTTATTAACCCTAATATAATCCTACCAAACCTCTTTCAAACTTTCCCCCTAAAGTTCCTTGAATTTCTCCTCCTTGCATACGTGATTACAACCTTCGTTGGCCTCTCTTGTTCGTTGGATCCTTCAGTCGTTGCTCTCGCTGTGCCACTCCTTTCTTCTGAGTTGTTCGACTCTTAAATCGTTGGGGTGGGCCGGTTGGCTGAATCTCAACCGGTACTGCTTGGGCCGATTGTTTAATATCTGACGTAATAATACGCCATTCAAAGAAGCACACAATCCTCAAGGTGGAACGATGGAAACTACCTTTAGATCACCTCATAAAGTTTTCACGTTGCTTAATACTCCGACATACTCTTCCCCTTAATAAGCACCTCCTTTGCTCCCGCTCTCCTCGATGCACTCCTTCAACCTCTAAGGGTTCTATTATCACCTATAGGTCCTTTATCATCATTAGTGGTAGCGACGACGAGAGGGTATGACCTTCGATGACACGTCTTAGCTGTGAAACATGGAAGACTGGATGTAGTGTTGATGATGCTAGTTACCTTAAATGGTAGGTAATTGCTCTGATGCGTTTCGTTACCTCATAAGGTCCAAATATCGTGGTGAAAGTTTCTCGCTCCTCTGCTTGGCCAATGTCTTTTTCCTATAGGGCCTCAGTTTCAAATATATCATTCCCCAGTTCGAACTACGCCTCTTTCCTATGTTCATCTGCATTATTCTTCTTGATTTGTTGAGCTCTCAGTAGATGCTCCTTGAGGTATGCCAATATTCTGTCTCTCCTTTATGAACCGGTCGACATTGGACACTTGTGCAGTACTATGCCCATAGTATATAAGGTTGGGTGGATCTCGCCCATACAAAATCTTGAAAGGAGTGGTTTGCGCTGCAATATAGCACGAACTATCATATTAGTATTCGACCCACACATTTCTCGAGGCCCAAAGCTTCAGTCTATCCAATACGAAACAACGTCGGTATGTCTCAACATTATTTTTGACCACCTCTGTCTGGTCATCAGTCCGAGGATGATATGTTGTGCTTCTTTTGAGGAAGGTTTCTTCTAACATCAATAGCTTCTTCCATAATTGGTTGAGAAACATATCGTCCCTGTCTGATCCAATTGATTCTGGCACTCTGTACAAACAGATCACTTCCTGTAAGAACACTGTAGCGACTAAGACCGCAACGTAGTGGCGTCGTAACGGAATGAAATGTGCATAATTGTTCAGGCGATTCACTACCACCAGGATCAACGTAAACCCTTCTGATCGTGGCAACCCTTCTGATCGTGGCAACCCTTCTATAAAGATCATTATCACATTTTTCCTAACCTTCTTCGGTAATTCTAAGGGTTGTAACAACCCTCTTGGCTTCATGGTTATGTATTTGTGTCGCTGACACACATCGCACCTTGCCATCATTTCTTCTACGTCTCTGCACATCCCAAACCAATAAAGCTCTGTCGATAGACGGTTGTATGCCTTTTGGACGGCCCCCCCCCCCCCCCCAAATCGCATTGATGTGAAACTCATGTCATAGTCTGGGGATGTACTCCGATGCCCTTAGTAACACGAATCACCCCTGGTAGAGTAGTTGTTGTCCTCTCAATGCATATCTCAGATGACTGTTCGAATGCTATAGCAACTCTGCCATAAAGCTCATTTAACAACTCATCAATCATCGGAATTGAAAATTTATCCAATGTCGTGTTCTAGTTCAAAGCCCGGTAATCCACTCAAAACCTCTAACTACCATCTTTTTTCTTTACGAACAAGACTGGACTAAAGAAGGAGCTCACACTGGGTCTGATAATCTCAACCTCGAGCATCTCTCACATCAACTTATCTATCTCTTCTTTATGAATCTGAGGATACTGGTATGGTCTGATAGTGATAGGGGGGACACCCTCATTTATTGTAACAGCGTGCTCGTGCTCCCTCAGGGGTGGTAACCCGCTTGGCTGCTGAAAAATGTTCTTAAACTGTTGTAAGAGCTGTTAAACCCCTTCAGAGAACTCTGCCAACTCGGTACCTCTGACCTTCTCAATGCTTTGCAACTCTACCAAGTAGCTCATCCATGCTCTTGTATCGACTTGAACATGTTTTTGCATAAGGTAGCATCTACTCTCAACATAACCTTCCTACCCTCCACCTTAAACTCCATCATTAGGGATTTTTAGTCCACCTTCATCTCTCAAAGCATCTTAGGCCGCTTCATCTCTAAAATCACATGTGTGTTGCCCAAGTCTAGGGAAGGGAAGTCCTCCACCATCGGCAGACCATTTATTGTCAGAACCAAACTCTTGCTAATTCCTCGACTTTTCTTCACGTTCTCTATCCCCATCATGCCGTCGAACTTTCTTGTAGCCACAAGCTGCAACCCTAATTGATCCACAATCTGTTATTAGATAAAGTTATGTGTGGCACTACTATCTACCAGAACTACAATTAGACATTTCCCTCCCAACTTCATTGGTGTGATTCGGAGTAAATCCCACAACTGAATTGAGGGACACCTCCACTACATTCAAGTGCAGATGCTTCTCCACCGTGTCTTCCTCTGATTCCTCACCCTTCGTCTCCTCCTGAACTAAAAGGATCTGAAGGGCGTGCTCTTTGCAATGGTGGCTTGGGGCACACTTCTCGTCACAGCGATAACATAATCCTTTTGCTCTTTTATTCCGCACTTCTGCATTGGTGAAACGCTTGAAATTATCCCCCAGGGCAGATCCCTATATTCTTCTCTTTTGGATCTCTTTTTGAAATGACACCGTCTGGGTCCGCAATGTCGTGGCTGTCGAGACACTCTTGTAGAATCCTTCTTTGTTGCCACCTTTGTTGGTCTTGTTCACATGTTTCTTGTCTTCCATCATATGGGAGAGCTCCACCATTTCCCTCAATCCATGCAGTCTCAATGGTTGGATGGCCGCTCGGATGCCTGGCTTTAGACCTTTCAAAAAATTTCCCTCAAAACCTGCTGCAGAAATACCTCTCAACCGCCCCGACAAGAGCTCGAACCCATTATTGTATTCCGTGACCATCTCTTCCTGAGTCAGAGCATAGAATTGCTCATGTATGTCTTCTTCCCAGATGACTCGAAATTGCTCCAACAAGCAATCCTTAAACTTGTTCGATCTCCTTCTCTTCTGATCTGGTAAGGATTCCCTGACCAACTCTTGGTGAGGGTTTACAACTTGTGCGGTCGGCATGGCTTTGGATTGCTTCTCTATGAACCTCTTCAACATCTCTCACATTTCCCCTATGCTTTCGAATCTGTCTTCCATTAGGCTCTTTATGGAAGACAATCTGTCTTTTATGGTGACAAACTTATTCTCCATTCTCAATATGATTTGTCTTACTTATCCTTCCAGCACATCCACATTCTTTGTTGTCATCCTTCCAAGATCTTGCTCAAATACCAATTGTATAGGATCCAGAACAAAAAAAAAACGAACAAAAAGCGGCGAAATTGCTAGAGATAGGTGGAAAAACTCAAATGATTATTGCTCTTACGAAAATCAAAGAAAACAAAGAAGAAAATGATGATCTACTGTTCGAGAGATAGATCGGCTCTCTATTAATCCTAAACGTCGCTAGAAACACCACAAGAAGAGAAGGAAAACTTTAGCCAAAACAAAATATAAAGCAACCCTAGGTTAGTAGCCCTAATTTAATCCTCCCAAATCCCCTTCAAACTTTACCCCTAAAGTTTTTTGAATTTCTTCTCCTTACATACCTGAGTACAGCCTTTGTGGACCCCTCATGTTAGCTGGATCCTTCGGTCGTGCTCCGTGCTGTGTCGCCCCTTCCTATTGGGCTGTTCGGCTCATAGATCGTTGGGGCGGGCCGGTCGGTTGAACCTCGACTGGTCTGCCTAGGCCGGTCGTTTAATACTCGGCATAACAGATTATTAATATTATTATGTTAACATAATAAATTATGTTAACTGTAGATCTCGACCAACTTGCTAAAACAAAATTGATTTACGTCGTTGAAGAGTTGTGCAAGTTATGAAATCTTTATTTAACATCTTAGAATGTGATTTACATTGGGTGATATTGGTCCGTGTAATTTGTTATTTGCTATTTTTTAAATAATAAATTGATGCTGTATCACCTTCTAGTTGATATAATATGTTAGTTACCTTTGCAGATAAATAGCAAGGTACTTTTGAATGACGTTGGATTCAAGATGGAAGTATCAATTGATGATGCTGTGAAAATTCTTCAATTATGGAGAGTTTTTTTGTCACCTTTTGTTGCAAGGTAATTTTTATTGCTCGGGGCAATTTATTCGTGGTAGTTGATTTAGGGTCTTATATTTTTAAAATTATTTTATATTCTACGCCCCATATTGCAAACTTTGTTTAGTTCTATTTCTCCAAGTCTTGGTACATTATGAAGCAGGCCATCTCTTAATAAAGCAAGCAATTTCCTGACAGAGCCTTTTTAGCACTAAATTTATTGCAATTTTGTTAACTGTTAATAACATATGTGAACTATGCCTATATGTTCCATATGTATGTGCTAAAATTCATGCACGCCTCTCTTGAGGCAATCTTTGATTTCGAGTTAAATTTTTACAATTCAGTTTAGATAAATGATACTACCACATATTTTATGAGAATTTTAAGATTCGAGTTCAAATTTCACATCGCCGCAATTCTTCTGATGATGATGAGAGAATTTTTTATTAAGGTTAAACTTACCGCATGCAATCATGCATGCCCGCACACACACATACATATACCTCCTTACCATAAATATGCACGCTGACAATATCGGACTTCTGATTGCAGCATTGCTCAAATGTTAAACTTCTACACTCTTATCTCTACTGGAATTTCAACCGCATCATCAAAGATTATTAAGGAGCTCATATCAACTTCTTTCATTTTCATTCCATTTATCCACTGTTGTCAAAGCAGTGCTCCTGCATCTGGAATGTTTTTATCACCGAAAGAAGTTTATTGGAAGGACCCAACTGGCTGTGTGGACAAGATGAAGGAACTAATGCTTTTGTGCACTTCGACGCACAAGGACAGTCACTTTCTGTGCTTGTCCTTGGAAACTGTGTACCCAACCCTTCATGATTTTTTTGTAAATGTTTGTGGTGTGCCTGAAACACCTCCATTTTCTGGCTATTTTCAGATCCTACAGCAATTATCAGCAATAGCGTTGCCATCACAAGCAGCACATAAAGTAAGTCCTCACCCATCTTATCACTTATCGGTTTAAAATTATTTTTAATATGTCATTTTATCATTCTATTTATCACATATTAAAAATTGAAATAAATACTTTTAAAGTTACGTCTTTAACAGTTAATCATTTATTTTGAAAGCTATTAATTTCAATCAATTTGATTTATATGTCTCAATTGATTTGTAAATTTATGAAAAAAAATCTGTTTAATTATTATTATTACTTCTATTTTTTAATTTTTGTTATTAATAGTAGTAATAATAATGAAAAATAAATAAATAAATTGTTATTTGAGTTAACCCAAATCACAACGGAATGATGGTAGTATTGCTGAAATTCAAAGGGGATTACAAACAAGACACTTGAAAGTAGGAAAACAATGACACAAACACAAAAGACCCGCTAGGGCAAGGATCGAAGGTCGTGAGTTGCTTGTCGAGATGGTGGAAACGGAGAGCTGTAGATGGTTGAGAGGTATAGTGGCAGTGAGGGGGAAGTGGTTTGGCAGCTGGACATGTAGGGGGGGCTGTGAAGGGTGCAGCAGCAAGCAGTAACAGGCCAGTGTGGGGGCTGTGGGAGGGTGCGGCAGCAAGCAGCAGGTTGTTGGAGGGTGCGGCAACAAGCAGGGTAATGCGGGAGAGAGAGAAAAGCGAAAAGATAATCACCACCTTGGAGCAGGATATAATCGGAGCACCGCTGCACCACCTGTCGTCGGATCAAGCCCTAGCAAGGGAGAAAGATGCTGACGGCAGAAAATCTGAAGCAAAAAACTGACCTAAAACATAGAAAATAACATATTAATACTACTAGAGTAGCTAAGGGTGGGGCCCTTTAAGTCGGTCGGCAAGTCCCGTGAAGAACTGATAGTGTGGTTCCCTCCATTGGGATGAACCGGTTCAAGCGAAGTTGTGCACGATTTGCCAATTGGAGGCTGTCGTGTCTCGCATCTTGTGTGGGAGACACACCTGCATCATAAATACTTATTCACCTGCGTCATAAATACTTATTTGTTTATTCTTTGGATCTTTACAATGACAATTCCAATGCTTCATTATTTTAAATGTCTTTTAAATGTACCTCACTGGCCATCTTTCACTTCAACGTTATTCCGTCTCCTCAGTTCATGACACAAACACAAAAGACCCGCTAGGGCAAGGATCGAAGGTCGTGAGTTGCTTGTCGAGATGGTGGAAACGGAGAGCTGTAGATGGTTGAGAGGTATAGTGGCAGTGAGGGGGAAGTGGTTTGGCAGCTGGACATGTAGGGGGGGGGCTGTGAAGGGTGCAGCAGCAAGCAGTAACAGGGTTGGTTGGGTCGTAAACATGTAGTGGGGCTGTGGGAGGGTGCGGCAGCAAGCAGCAGGTTGTTGGAGGGTGCGGCAACAAGCAGGGTAATGCGGGAGAGGGAGAAAAGCGAAAAGATGATCACCACCTTGGAGCAGGATATAACCGGAGCACCGCTGCACCACCTGTCGTCGGATCAGGCCCTAGCAAGGGAGAAAGATGCTGACGGCAGAAAATCTGAAGCAAAAACTGACCTAAAACATAGAAAATAACATATTAATACTACTAGAGTAGCTAAGGGTGGGGCCCTTTAAGTCGGTCGGCAATTCCCGTGAAGAAATGATAGTGTGGTTCCCTCCTCCATTGGGATGAACCGGCTCAAGCGAAGTTGCGCACGATTTGCCAATTGGAGGCTGTTGTGTCTCGCATCTTGTGTGGGAGACACACCTGCGTCATAAATACTTATTTGTTTATTCTTTGGATCTTTACAATGACAATTCCAAATGGTCATTATTTTAAATGTCTTTTAAATGTACCTCACTGGCCATCTTTCACTCCAACGTTATTCCGTCTCCTCAGTTGAAGAAACATATAGAGGGACAGATTCGTATCGAAGGCTTGTGTTTATTACCCCTTTTTTTTCAGTTTAATTTTGGCCTATGATGAACTTTTCCAAATTGTTTATATTTAATATTTATTAAATCTGAAATTTATATAATTATTTTATATATTTGAAACTACGCTTTTGTTATGTTATCCTAAAATCCTTTAATTCTCAAGCTTCACGCTTCACTCTACAATGCTTTTGTTGGTAAAGTTATGACTAGATGATTATATTGGAATTTCTAAAAACATCAGATGCTATTAATGCTCTTGTTAACATTTACTTTATTCTTTTTCTAGGTGTTTCAGGTTATGAAAAGGTGGGGTGAGGACCTAAAATCTGGTCTAGTTTCACCAGATCAAATTTCAGAGTTGAAGGATAATTTTGCAAAATTGGAAAATACGGTGCTTCCGACTGAGCAAGATAAATGGGTTTCTCTACATCCTTCATTTGGTGTCATTTGCTGGTCGGATTCTGGTGAGCTAAAGAAGATTTTTAAATACTCTGATGGTGTTGACTTCATACAATTTGGTGACCTCAGTGTGGAGGAGAATGTCATGCTCTTAGGCAGCGTTGCTACCTTTTTTCATAATATCGGCGTTCCCGCTCTCTCAAAGGTTTAAAATCACCCTTCCCTTGCTATAAATTTATAATGATAATTCTTTGTTATTTATTTATTTTGTTGTAATATCTTCATTGGACATTTACAGACATGCCACCCAATTTCTGTGTTTACATATCTAACACCTAAACTTCACTTTTTTCATTTTTACCACCTAAATGATTCATATTACATAAAAAATATCATTATTTTAACTCTTAAAAGTGAAATACACCTTTTTCATGAATAGGTAAGGTGGCATGTTTGTTAAAAATTGAAGTATTTAGCGTTAGATACGTAATGATATAGGAATTAAGTGGTATGTATGTAAATCTTTCTGTCTTTATAGTAAACTGCTTTAGCATCCTAATATAACCTTTTTTTTTTGTTTTGTTTTTTCATTAGATTGTGTCACGCGAAGCAATTTTTTATGGTACAGAAGATAACAGAGACAAAGTTTCTTTAGTAAATTGGGTTATTCTTTATGCGCAACGCTATATTTATAATTTGCACCTGGATGCATATCTTAAGTTGAAGCAACTGGGATTTGAAAAGCTTACTCGGTTGCAAGTAGTTGTTGTGAGCAAGTTGTTTTACAAATATACCTTACAAGGTCGTGGCTTTGTGTCAAAACGGCGGTTTGAATGCAACTGCCTTCTGCAGGTCAGAAACCAGAGCTTCTCTTCTATTTTGCTAATAAAATGATCGAAATAAGTTTAAATGGAAAATTTAATGGTTAAGACGTTTACACTTTCTAGATTAAAGGAAATTGCTATTGTCGCAATTTATTTTTCTTTAGCTTTGTAAAAGTGGAGAAAGAACCCTGCTTAATGGGATTAGACGAATGCATTATATTTTCTTGCAATTTTTTTATGGTTGTGTAAGAACGATCAATTGCTATAGATGAGAAATGCATATACAGAGTATTATGCAACAAAAGAAGTTTATAATAACCGAATTTTGAAGGCTAAAAGTCGAAATTTTATGAGTTTGGAAGGATATGATGCAAAATAATCATAAAATATTGAGTAGCTCGTATTGAAGGTATTTAACTAGTTTATGAAGATACAATGAAATGGATGATGCATCTTTAAGATGGTGAACGAGATTGGAGTTGTTCTACCAATGGGTCCCAATTATGTACTATTTCAGCAAATACATTTTTGATCATTTATTTCATGATGCTCGTATCAGTTTTTAGTTTATCGGTGCTTCGTCACTACAATCCCCCCCACCTTGTTACCCGTTTGCCTATCATGGCCACCACTGCCAATTCGTCGCCACTACAATCCCACCGTCAACCACTGCTATCACCCATCTTATGTTGTTAACCCACCTTAATCCTGAAATATTAGTTATATTTTACAAGCAATCAGACAAAAAATAAATGAAACTCATGTATTTCTTTAACGAATGACCAAACACCGTAAAATATTTTAAATATATGATTTTACTTCACATTATATTTTGACTACATTGGATTTTCTAATTTTAGCAACCACACACCCCAAAATTAATGGTTAAGAACATTTAACAGCTCTACCTAATTAGTATGACATACTCCCTTGCAGCCTATAGTGTTATGCATAGGTGGTTTTCTGAGATGATCGACAACTGAAATTAAATCACTCAAACCATAATTAAACAAAACTGAAATCTATTAACACAATTTTCGTTTTTTTTTTCATTTTGACAGTGGAAGCATTATTATCTTCTATGTAAGAATAAGATGCTTAATATTGATTTGTACTTTATTTGCCTGCTTTTTGTACTTGGATACACCCTTCTCTCAGTTTATTGTTGAGATTGTTTTAAATCTTTTCTTTATCATAACATAACTAAGTTATTTTTGAAGTCTTAGCCTTCTGATTGAATTTTTATGATGATGAAATTCTTCGAAGAAGATTGAAATTTTACTTTCTACAGGGTAACATTTTGTACGCATGTCCCGAAACTGATGCTCATTCAATGTTCTTGGAGCTTTCTCGGTACTTCTTCAATGGCTCTTCAGAACTGCACTTCGCCAATTTTCTTCACATGGTGACAGCCATGGCGCAATCTGGCTCCACCGATGAACAAATTGAATCTTTTGTTCTCAATAACCAAAAGATATCAAAGTTACCTGATGAAGATTCTCTTTGGTCCATTTCATCCGCATGCGAAGCAGACACACTTAAAACTTCACCGTCAATGCCTGTTCCCGACGACCTCAAATGTGGATTTTCAAAGCCTTCGCATAAAAAAACAGGTATAATTACCTGCTGGCCGCCTACAGATTGGAAAAATGATCCTGATTTTCAATATTGTCGAAGAAGAAAGCTGTGGATGCCGCCATATGATGGCTTAAATGGTGGTTTAAATAAAGTTGCTGAAGATTCTGCTCAGATGGAAGATCCAATATCTGTTGAGATTACGGGGAACTGGACCTTAGAAGAAGGGCAAGATTTAGAATTAATCCATTTACAATCTAACCCAGTTGGACTGACTGATTCTGCACAATTGCTCCAAGATCCTGCTTTAGAACCCACAAGTCATTTTGAAGAAAATGGTAAAATCTCTGCCGTAGAAAGGATTAAGAGGCCAACATCTGATGATTTTCACGAATGGAGAAAGACCGGCAGACTCGGAGAGATGTTAGCTTTCAAATACTATACTGAGGAACTTGGCTGCACTGATGTGAGATGGATTAATGAAGAAACTGAGTCAGGGTTACCCTTTGATTTGGTTGTTGGAGAGAACGAAGCAAGGGAGTATGTTGAGGTAAAGGCAACCAAGTCTGCAACTAAACATTGGTTTGACATTTCTTGCAGGGAGTGGCAATTTGCATTGGAGAAAGGGGATTTATACACTGTAGCTCATGTGACTATATCGGACGCAGATAAAGCGAATATCACACTGTTGAAAAATCCGTACAAGTTGTGCCGTCAGAACGTCCTCAAACTTGCACTTGTGATGTCGAAACGTTAAAAGTATGCAAGATAACTTGTTGGTTGACAGCTTAATCTTTCGATCATGAAGTTCTGGGTTCAAAGTCTTGCATATGTGGTGTTTGTTTCCGTGTTTTAGCTCAATTTTTTTTTTAAAAATGGAACGCTAAAGCTGATGTTTTTCGTGCTTGATTTCAACACAGCTAAAATTTTAGCAGTACCAAATCCAAATATTGGTTGGTTTGGGGGTTATATGCTGAAATACAGTTTGTGGAAATCTGATGAATTCAAACGGATACATGTTCAGGGATTTGGAGGAGTAATTTAATCATCTGCACCCCCATGGAAACAAGCCCAAGTTCAGTTTTTTTATGGAGATTGTGTTATTTTGGCAAGGCACTCCAGCAAGTGGCTAAGGTGATGTGTATAAAAGTTTATCTTATTTGAATTAATTTTGTTTTACTCTATGTATATCCTATGTAAGTTCTTTATATCTATTCAGTTAATGTACTGTGGATAGGTGCCAAGTTTTTAAAAAATCAAACCTTTTTTTTTTCTTTTGTTTTTAAAGCTCTCCTTTTGCTGAAGGTAATGGGCATTTATACAAGTACCAGCCAAATCCTATCAATTTACATTTATACCACTTAAATCTTAAAAAAATGTAAAATAATCGTTTTCATGCAATTGGTAACGTGTATATATTCAAAGTAGACTTCATGGGAGAAAAAGCGGGCTGTGAGCGGACCCATGCCCATGACTTGCACCGTAGACTTGGTGTCGGTGGTAGAATAATTTCCGTTGTCTAGACTCACACCACAAGGAAATTGTCAACTTTATATTTATTTATTTATTTATTTATTATTATTTATTTATTATTCTTAATAATTAATTTCATTTGAAAAATACATTTTGCCCACGTTTTAAATGACACGGTGCGTCATAATATTGATTTCACATCATATCACACGGCATGTGTTATGTGTTTTTATGTTGGGTTATTACTCTGGATCCCTCTCTTTGATGCTACTTTCATCATTTCGCTCTACCCGAACCCGAGCTTCTTTGAGCTCGAAGGCGGTGGATCCTTAGCAAGGTACCTTTGATCTTCTTTCTTATTCCCCCTCTTTGCTCTGATCTCTTTGGAGGTGCATTCGATCTCAACTTCAATTTTTTCGTGGGTTGGCATCTACCATTTTTGTATATCTTTGCATTTTGGTCGTCTCTAATGAGATTTCAGATAGCTATAAATCTCTACTTGGGTATTTCTGCCATGACAGATTGGATCTTTTTGCCCTAATCTTTTAGGATTTTGACTTTATCTTTTGTTTTCATGTATGAATAAATAATCTAAAAGTATATTTTTTTAATAAGAAGTTGCAGCACAACTAATACACAATTGAATAATCGAAACAGATAACTTTACCGACAATAGTTTTCTCGCAATAGCTTTTCTGCTGTTGTTACGCAACAGCTTCTTCAAATCACTGCGTCTGCCCCAAACATATCCTAAGATGAATTTTGACATAGGAAATAAAATTTCATAAAAAATTTCAAAGTTAAGTGTACTCGTATGGGAGTACATTTGAGATTAGTGATCATTTAAATTGTTACACTAATGAGAAGGAACCTCAAGATGGGCCAAAGCTAACATTGTCCAAAAGGATGATAATTAAGGTTTTAAAGAAAACAAAAAAGAATTACCATAATTTGATTAAAATAAATTAGAATAACAAAATTTACTTTATCTTTTAATTTTTTTAAAATTAAAAAAAATGTCTCTTTACATGCATGTTACTCGATTCTTATTTATCTACATATCTAGCACATAAAGTTTAAATTTTTACACATACCACCTTATATATGCATGAAAATATGCATTTCATTTTCTATAAGTTAATTTTTAATGTCATCTAAAAATTTTGGTGGTAAAAATAGTTAAGGAAAATTTTCGGTATTGGATGTATAAACAAATAAGAATTAGGCTTAATGCTTGTAAATGACCGTAAATATTATAAAGTGTTTGAATATAAAATAAAGAAATTCAATATAAAATCAATATACAAAATTTTGAAGCTAAATTCAAAAATATTTTCCCTTGTCAAATAAATAAGGCGCATGAACAGATCATGAGCCTTGGAAGTGCCGGATAATGTCCCCCACTCGTCGCCTCCTCTTCCTCCTCCTCGCCTTCTCTTCTCTTCATACGCCATGTAGTTCTTCTCCTCCACCATTGAGCCCTTTAGTGTTAGCCTCGGAAAACGGCGGGCTCTGCAACGGCACACTCATCCCCTTCCCCTTCGGCATCTCAGAACTCACCACTTACCCTTCGGCGACTCTCTTCAACATCACCTGCAAACATGATAACGGTGATCTAACTTCACCACCACGCCTCTCTATCTCCAACAGCTTCGTCTCAGCCAAGCTTCCCCTCCTCGAAATCTCCCTTACCGAAGGCTTCGTCCGCATCGAGCTCGGCCCCTTCTCATGGCGCTGTGATCGTGGCTTCGACGAGGTGCCAACCAAACTTCCATACCTTCTCCAAGACTCCCCCTTTACTTTCTCCTCAACTCGAAACGTGCTTACTGTAATCGGCTGCGACGCCATGGTTTCCCTTCGCCCGCTGCGGAGCAATGATACGAGAAGCTGCGTCTCGTTCTGCGAGAGCACAGATAGTGTGGTTGATGGAATTTGCTCTGGTGTGGGTTGCTGCCAGGCCTCCATACCCGAAAAGCTGAAAAGCTTCGATCTTGATTTTGAAAGCATTCGGAACATGACAGGATCGATTCTTAACAACACGCCTTGTGGCAGGGCGTTCATTTTGGAGCAGAAAGTTTTTAAATTCTCAGTAGAAGATCTTAACAGCGCCGGAGGCCGAACTTCGCCGACGTCTGTCGTGCTCGATTGGTCGATTGGGAATAAGTCTTGTGAAGAGGCGAAGAGGGTTGGCGGAGATTATTATATCTGTACGGAGAAAGCAGAGTGCAACGATGCCAGAAATGGTGACGGATATCTCTGCCGTTGCATAGATGGATATGATGGCAATCCGTATGTGCGAGATGGATGCAAAGGTCTCAAATTTAGCTCGATTTCTGATATAAAATTATTTCTCTTGCAGAGGAATTTATTTATCTTAAAGTTACGATCTTGCTTAAGATTTTTCTTTTTTATTATGCTGATTGTTAATACGCCATTACTGAATTTGATTTCAGATATCGATGAGTGCGTTGTTAATGGAACAAGCCCGTGCTATGGGAAATGCAGGAATTTTGATGGGGGATATGATTGCTCCTGCCCCTTTGGAAAAACCGGAGATGGCAGGAAACAAGGCAGTGGTTGCAAGAGAGTTGCGCCATTAGAGATTGTTTTGGCTGCTGGCCTCTTATTGTTGCTTCTCCTCTTCATTGGGGGCATTATATCGTACAATAAGCTGAAGAACCGAAGATCTGAAAGGCTCAAGCAGAAGCATTTCATGCAGAACGGAGGACTGCTTCTACAGCAGCACTTCTCTGTCAGAGAGGCGTCCGCCAAGATCTTCACCGCCGGCGAGCTTGAAATGGCTACTGATAAGTTCAGCGAGAGCCGTATACTGGGGCATGGCGGCTACGGTACAGTTTACAAAGGGATTCTGTCTGATGGACGCGAAGTCGCCATCAAGAAATCGAAGCTGATGGATGAGACTCAGATTGAGCAGTTTATCAATGAGATGGTCATTCTTTCACAGACCAATCACAGGAACGTGGTTAAGTTGCTGGGCTGCTGCTTAGAAACACAAGTTCCTCTGCTCGTCTACGAGTTCATCTCCAATGGAACCCTCTTCAACCACATTCATTCGAACGGAAAGTTAAAAACTTCACCTTTGTCATGGGAGACTCGCCTGCGAATTGCCGGCGAGACGGCGGCGGCGCTTGCTTATCTGCACAACGCGGCTTCAACGCCCGTCATTCACAGGGATGTGAAATCAGCAAACATACTTTTGGATGAGGAGTTCACCGCTAAAGTTTCGGATTTTGGAGCTTCAAGGCTTGTTCCTTATAATCAGACTCATGTGACGACGGTGGTGCAGGGGACTCTGGGGTACTTAGATCCGGAGTACTTTCTCACGGGCCTGCTATCGGAGAAGAGTGATGTTTACAGCTTCGGTGTTGTTCTGGTTGAGCTGTTAACAACGGAGTCTCCGCTTTCGTTTCGTAGGTCAGATGAGGAGAGGAGTCTGGCTTCATACTTCGTTCGGTTGGTGAAGGAGAACAGAATCTTAGAGATGGTGGATCGGCGGTTGTTTCAGGAAAGCTCTATGAGTTTGTGTGCGGCGGCGGAGCTTGCGAGCAGGTGTTTGAATGTGAGGGGAGAGGATAGGCCGATGATGAAGGAGGTGGCGGTGGAGCTCAATGCGCTGAGAAAGCTTTTCGTGCTCAGCAGGCCGCCGGGAAGGCTCGATGGGGAAGAACAGAATAGATTTCTGCTTAGGCCTCTGAGTATTTGCAGGGAAGATGGGGAAATAAGCATGGAAGAAAAGCTTCTGTGAACTCTAGTGCTGTCAATAGGACTAAAATCTAGCCGGAATTTCGGAGAATTTCTTATGCTAACTTTATGTATAGTATGTTAATAGTATTGTACAATACTATTTGTATTGGGAGTTCACATACATTTAAAATCCGCAAGGAGTAATTTTTCTAACACATGACTATAATATTTTTTGTCATTTTTAATATATTAGTAGATCATTGTATTATGAGAATTTAGATGCTCGTAATAAGGAAAGCCAAGCCTCTCCTATTTGGTGAGAATGATGTAGGCATCATGCCTTTCGCATCTGGCTAGGCGGACTCGATCGAGTAGAGCTAGTCTAGTTTAGTTTTGACTAGAATGATTCAAGTGCTGCCGCCCCGAATAAAGCCCATTTAGAGCTCTTGTTTGCTTGTTTCTTTGGGACTTTTATGATTCTTATATTTGCGTAGCGGATTATTTTAGGATGATTTTATTGGATCCTCATTGTTATCCTCATATTGTTATTTTTTTTTTCCCTTTAATTGTAGGATTTATATTATTGGTTGATCTTATTTCTTCAATAGTATTGGTATCTTATTAAGTTTTATTTTACATTCTCTTAGGAGTTGGTCTCTTTACATGACTTCGCATGCGCCTTTCTAATCCTAGATAGGGGAATTGGTTCTTAGAAAAAGAATAAGAGTATTTATAAATTTCACTCTTCTTAAGAGGTGAATATTTATACTTTTTATTATGTGCTGGTAAATTCATAATGGTGGAATGATATATTAACGTTATAGTGTTGTAAGAAGATCTGACTCACATAGAGATAAAATAAGAGTTGTAAGAGAAAACAATAAGTGTTTAAGTGAAAAAAAATCTAAAAGAGTAAAAACCATAAGGTCTAACTCAGTTGAAATAATTTCACCATGTCAATGTATATTGTTAGTCTTTACTGCTCTTGAATAGCTAGAAGCAATATTACATAAGTGAGGGTTATCAACATGGCTTCCACTAGAGGAGTGGCGAAATACATTAGGGAAGTGGAAGCGACTTGATTGCTGTGAAGAAAGACCGACGATAAAAGTCATGTGTCAGAAAATTTAATGCCAACATCATTGGTATCAGTGGCTTGATGGCAGTGCTCTGGCGGTGGTGGCAATTGTGGCTAGTAAGGGAAGTTCAGAAGTTGCCATGATCTAATGGTTGTGGCTTGGCAACAATGATACGGTGGTTAGACAATAGTGTTGACCTCATTTTTTGTGAGGTCTGTTTTCTTTTCTATAGTCTAGAAACTAGCTATTAGGATTTCTCTATTGGTTCTCTTAGAAGACTAGTATTGGGACCTGCACTAGTTAGAAATTAGAACCACTTTTTGACTTCTTATAGTCTCACATGTATGGTTTCAAATATGTAACATTTAGTCAAGTCAATTGGAACCAACATATTGAAACTCAAGTCAAGTTCATATAAGGTTTGAAAAATTCTTATGAAGACCTTTTGGATTTAGGGGTTTTTAATCTTTGAAACAGCATGCACATCTACATACACTTGCACCACACACCTTCACACTACAATTCACATATTCACCATAATCAAAATTAAAATCATTTCTTCAAAATCCCTACAAACCAAACTCGGGTCTAAATTCACTAACCAAAATCAAACTCAAAATTAAAATAAGACGAAAACCCTTGTGGATGAATTTGAGACCCGTTGGTGTGTGCTGAAGAGTGTCATGCTAGCACCATTTTGCTAGACTTCGACTCTTGCTTAAGCGAAAGTCGAACGACATTTTTGCATGTGGATGGCTCCGATCGAACCAAGGGATCGCATTCGCCGCACGCACGTGAATCAGTTTCGAATTGACCCGATTGTCGACGAACTCATCCAGACAACTACGGATGACAAAACAGACAGCGCAAACTCTTCTAAAACGTCGAATTTATCTAGTAAGTGCACTCGTCTTGCTACGATTTCATGTAAAAGTGAGTTCCGCGCAATTGGACGTACTCAAATGAAATAATTATAAAAGTCCTCGTTTGCTCCACCTCATGCGACCACACCTAGCTTCACTTCAAAATTACCTTTTTCAATAAAAACCCTCTACTCCCCAAGATCTTCCACCCGAAGCACTCGCTCGGCTAAAACCCTCCTCTTCTTTGACACTCGATGGTGAGAACCCAAAGGCTCTCGGGAGACCGATTGGGGGAGGCTGGCTTTTCTCCCTTTTCCATCTACCTTCTTCTTCTTCCCGCTCGCCTTCTCTTTTCACACCATGTTTTTGCTGTGCCAAGAAAGTTGAGGCTCAAGTGTCTTCTTCCAGCAACAATACCAGAAGTCTACCAAGGAGGAGGAAGTCGCCTTTAACCAAAGCTTAGGAGATGCAATAAATTTGAAAAAGTATAATATTCTTATATACCTCCCAATCCTTATTTATTTACATACCTAACACCTAAGTTTCAATCTTGACACACATACTCCTAAATCTGTTTCAAAATTATGTATATATGATTATATTTTATATTAATATTTTTAAAAATGAGCCGGCTCATAGGCTGACATGTCAAGTTGAGGCTAGCTTGAGCTACCCCACTCACGATTCGGCTTGACTCACTTAAACTAATGGCGACCCAACAAAGATGGTTTGGTGGTGATGGAGCTTGGGAACCCTCAAATTTAGCCTTCTTCTCTAGTCCCCCTCATGAAGGGAGTGGAAGTTTATTTATAGATTTTGAGAACTCTTCTAAGTAAATACTGCACGAATCTGAACCACTTCATCGGAGGGCCTAGAGTGGTTCCCTTAATTGGATATAAATTTATGAGTATTTTGAATGGCTTAATGTTTTCATAATTAATTGATCTTAGACTCGATGAATCTGTCTTATCGAGAGACTCGATTTGACTATAAATTTATCATATTTGGAGATTATTTCATTTCCCAAAATATATTTTAAAATTATTTCCATACTTTAAGTGCATGATTTGGGCTCGCTCAAACTTAGATCAAACATTTTATTTTTTTTTTTTTTTTTTTTTTTTTGTAATTTGGTGAGTTTCACTGAAACACTTCATTTAATCATAAATTGGAGCGTGAGTATTTTCAAATTTGATTTTTGAAGCTTCCCTTCCAAATATGCATTGAAATTCATGTGGATCAATATGATTTTCGTGGAGACATGTCACTATTTTGCATTAATCACTTCTATAGCCATGTCAAAACTATATCATCAATTATCATCTTCAAAATAAGATATATTTATGAATCCATATTCATCAATATTATTAATGATATAATCATTTGTTAAGCATAGAAAATTGTAATAATGATAGATAATATATAGAAATTTCTTAGAAATCTAACTTTGGCCGTTAATTTATCTTTCTCAAAGCAAACTTAATAACTATAAGACTCATTCTAAACTAATAATAATAAGATTCAATTAGGCCAAGTTGATTAAGTCAATCTAATCGCAAAGCTCAGAGATTTCCTAAGACTTTGAGTCGCCTGCTACCCTTACTAGCCCATGTTTAAGACTTAACAAGTTTCCATGATTTGATTAGCCTAACTCAAATATCAGAAAAAATAATACGTCTGCACGTTCGGACGGCCAACCGTAGGGTGCCACGTCGCCCGGTCCAGACGTGTTGGGGTGTAAACGAACCGAACACGAACAAATAGAGTTTGTGTTTGTGTTCGGTTAGTTTGTTTCAAATAGCTCGTGTTTGAAATTGTTCGTGTTTGTTTCTTAACGAACGAGCCGAACACGAGCTGTTCGCGAACGACGAGCCAGTTTGACATCTCTAATATTAATATATATAAATAATATATTATATTAATCATATAACTTATATTATATAAAAAAATAATATCTATATTAGTATATTACTAATATAATATATTATTATATTATTATTATTCATTTATTATATATTATAATTTTTAAAATTTAATTTATAAAATATCATAAAATTTATATATATAATTATTTTAAATTATTTTATATTTCGAACAATAACGATTCAAACACGAACGAACGCGTCTTTGTTCGTGTTTGATTCGTTTAACTAACCGAATGAAAAAAAATTGTTCGCTTTCATCTCGTTTACTTCTCGAACGAATCAAACACGAACTCATTGACGAACCAAACATAAACTGTTCGCGGACAACGAGTTTTTTTGACAACCCTACCGACGTGCGGTGTGCGAACATAAAATTTTAGCTAAATATCAAAGCTAGAGCAATGCTCTGCTTCAAGTACTGCTAGAATCATTAATCACATAAAGCACCCTCATCCAGAATAAGTTGCACTCTCAAGCACTTGAAAAATTATTTCATACGGACACCGCATGCAGAGATGTATGTGGTGTCTGATCTCCACCGTCGATCACCTCAATGATGTATTTCAGTAGGCCCACTTTCAACTTTTTTTTTTAAAAAAAAATTTGATTGCGGTGATCGACAGTGAAAATCGGACACCGCATGCATCTCTGCATGCGGTGTCCGTATGGAATAATTTATCCAAGCACTTGTAGCACAAGTTAGGGCTTTTGCCAAAAATTCAGTCAAAGGTTCTTGCTAGGAAAACTTGTCGTGGGAACTTACCCATATCTTGAAATCACCCATAATTGTCATCTTTTAGATGGGAACAATATGGATTACTATTTACTCGAGCACCTGCATAAATAATTAATATACTTGTTTTCTTTTCATAGAGTCTTGATAAGACTTAAACAAATCTTCATCATTTATCACGGATGTCGAGGCGTGACTTATATTTCGAAGCAATCTTTTAAGCAATAAATGTTTAGTCTTTGATTATGAGTCATTTAGAGATCTGATTCCATCAAACTTGCAGCCAAACTGATCAGTTTGATGAGACAAATCTAGTGATATCAAAATAGGTTAAATTTGAATCCAATCAAGCCCCAATCAAGACGTTAAACCGCTTTTGGAAACTTTCTAAACATGTTTGGAAGGTCAAACAGATATCGAATTTAGTGAGCTTATATTTGATTTGAGTGACTCGACAAGGCGAAGATCAATGTGGTTCATATTAAGACATCCAATTTTGATACCATTAAGACACGCAAATTCCCATCAAACGCAGTTTGATCAATGAAAGTCCACGGAGGTCGAAGCCGTTTAATCAAAGTGGTTCATATTTTTGCATTAATTACCCCAAGAAATAAATATAACCTCACCTCTCTCATCAGGGGG